AAACTTGGTTAAAGGAAAATTGAAAAAAAGTTACAGGGTGTTATTGTTTATTTCTTGTATACTTTATTGCCACAAATTGATTGTACATTTTAAACACATTTAAAATTATTTAAAAAACCAGTGAAGTACGATTTTTTTTTCAAAAAAGGTCCCCTACTCCCCCAATAACTACGCCACTAGAGTGTACTTTGGAATAAGTTATCCATGAAAAAAAGTTACAGGAAAAATAATATAAATATTTGAAACTTTTAACACCCTGTAACTCCGTAGAGAAACGTATATATACCCGTATATATAAATTTTACCCTATAAAAAAATTTTATAGGGTAAAATTTGATTATTTTCATCGGTAGAATACAATAGTAAAGTTTGGCAAAACCTATAATTAACACCCTGTATATTTTTCTAACAAAAACTGCGACATTTTTAAGTAGATTATATGTAAAGTACGATACGTTTCACTAATAGTGTTTGGACATTAAAAAATTGTTTCTAACATATAGACAAGGGGAAAACCTCGCAATCGTGGGATACATTTTCCGACTCGATTTTTTGCATATTCAGATTCGTGAGATGTTCCTTAACATGAATCAAGATGATGCCGGCCGGAAATCTGGTGCCCGTTTGTTTAAACAAACTTTTTTTAAACAAATTGTAAAACTTAGTTTTTTCACTCCTTTCTTTTAGGTTTTTTGGCACATTATAAACAAAGAAGTTCCTATGCACTATGCCTCTAAAATTGATAGTTTTAAAGTTATAAACAATTTAATTATTCATTGATGAGAATGTTAAAAATGAGAAAAATTAATACGTTCAATATGTAGTTGAAGGCTTATAGCAACATGAGTCACAATCTGCGGAGTTATCTCCCATTTGCTCCAAAATTTGCTCTCTTGCCTCGGTTGTGGAAATAGATCTAGATCTTCCAGAATCACTATGATTTTTGCCCAATTTTCCACTATCCTGGAATTGCTGATGAAATGTGATGGATATTTGAGTAGAGAGACTGGACTATTAAGTTAAATCTCAGCAATAGACCATGAGCTTCCATTCTATTACCATTCGCACGTCCATACAAATGAATATTTGCCTTTTTCCAATAGCATTGACATGTATTATAACTTTCTTTAATTAATGTGTACCTAACCTTATTTGAATAGGAAATGTAAGTCTTTTTATTATTAAAAAAGACACACTTTTTATAGGAACACATTATAAAGAATGGAATTTAGGGTGGCCCAAAAAAAACGAGTATTTTTTTTCGTGTCTCTTGTGAAAATATGTTAGTTTATCATGTTTTAAGAGCCCCCTCAGAAAAATCAGTTCAAAAATTTTTTTTTAGAAGTCGCTCAAGATTTTTAAAAATTTGCAAAATAGTCAAAAATTGATTTTTTTTTAAATAATTTTTCTCGTTATTTTATCATTTTCCAGGTCAAAAAACATCTCGATTCTGAAAACTTCAAATCGATATTTTAATTTCTAAAGGTCACTCATAACTATTTTAACTTTCAAAGTAGTGTACCTATATTTTCGAGCGACCTCTAAAAATAAATATCAACGAACTAATAATTTTTTTTTATTGAATTTGATGAACAAAAGAATAGAAATAAATCACGAGACACTTAAAAAATTTCTCGAGGCAAAATTTACTACCGCACTGTGAGTATCAAATATTTATAATTTTTTAATTTTTTAAAATTTAAGTGTCTCGTGATTTATTTCTATTCTTTTGTTCATCAAATTCAATAAAAAAAATTATTAGTTCGTTGATATTTATTTTTAGAGGTCGCTCGAAAACATTTTAGGTACACTACTTTTAAAGTTAAAATAATTATGAGTGACCTTTAGAAATTAAAATATCGGTTTGAAATTTTCAAAATCGGGATTTTTTCGAACCTAGAAAATTATAAAATAACGAGAATAAAAATTTTTAAAAAATTCAATTTTTGACGATTTTGGAAATTTTTAAAAATCTTTTTAAATCTGATTTTTTGAGAGGGCTCTTAAAACGTGATAAACTAACATATTTTCACAAGAGATATGAAAAAAATATGCCAAAATACCTAAAATAAAGGAGTGAAAAAACTAATTTTTACAATTTGTTTAAAAAAAGTTTGTTTAAACAAATGGGCACCAGATTTCCGGCCGGCATCATCTTGATTCATGTTAAGGAACATCTCACGAATCTGAATATGCAAAATAATCGAGTCGGAAAATTTCTCCTACGAATGCGAGGTTTTCGCCTTGTCTAATATGGGTTTACTGGGAAATGAAGTGATCTCTTAATTATGCAGGTATCATATCATTATTAGCCGCTTCAAACATTTTTTCTGGGATGCCGTCTCTCCAGAGGCCCACATCAAACGTAACTTAAATTTTCTCGCACACTTCCCACTAAAAATAGACATATATCAGAAGCGAGAGACGCGCTTGTTACATACCCATTTGAAAATCCGGATGAATGACATGCGAAGCAAAGTCATTCCAGTATTATAACACATGTCAAAACTTTTTCTTACATATCATGTTTATTCTCTGAACTGATATGAATAGAACGCTCGCGCTTCGCGGCACATTTGCCATTATATGAAAATTTCCTCACTTTTTACCAACTAAATTGTATGCTAATCCCCGCCGTATATCGGGGATAGTTCATGCAGAAGTTTCCTGCGCGCACAAACACAAAGAAAGAAACGTTTTTATCGATGACAGCGCAGCGACAAGTCCTACGGACGTTAAGAGCTCGTCAAATCAGCAACAACTGTAACAGCATCGTTGCAAATGCTCCAATTTTTTCTTCTGATAAAACAGTTTGTATTTATTCAATAGCGTATTTTTATTGTACTTACTACACAAAAATATTTCTGTACTTTGTTGCATTATTTCTTAGTAAAGTATCACTTTCAGTCCCCAAGAAATTAAATAAAATTTCTGCCATAAAAAAGTGCTATTTTAGTATCTACATTCAAGGAACAAAGTTCTCTTCTAATTCCCAATTCGCTGTTTGAAAGAACAAAGCGCTCCTTTTAATTTTTAACAGATTAAGTTACACATCTGCTTTTGAAGTGCCATCTCTAATTTCAAGAAATAAAGTGGACCTTTCTATCCACATATTTTATTTTTGCATTGAAAAGTATGCTTAAGTTCATCAAAGAATAAAGTGTCTTTAAAATCCGCATAGGGTTTAATCATAAAACAAAGTGTTACTTTTAAGTTTTTTTAAGATTTAAAGTGCATCTTTTAACCCCCTTAGGATTAAAAGGTGCACTTTAGTAGCACTTTGACAAAATTTGCATTGCTACAGAAAAATCTTTCTGTACTTTGTTGGTTATATTATTTCAGAGTAAAGTTCCCCTTTTAATCCCCAAGAAATTAAATAGTTCTAGTTCTTCTCCTAGAGAATAAATTACAGTTTTACATTAAAAACTGCTATTAATCTCTACATTCAAGGAACAGTTCTTTTCTAATTCCCAGTTCATTGTTTCAAAGAGCTAAGTGCTCCTTTTAATGCTTAACAGGTTAAGTTGCACTTCTGCCTTAAAAGTGCCATTTTAATCTCTAATTTCAAGAAATAAAGTGCACCTTTTTATATCCTCATATTTTATTTTTGAATTAAATGTTGTGCTTAAGTTAATCAAAGAGCAAAGTGTCTTTAAAATCCGCAAAGAATTTAGTCATATATAGAAAAATACTACCTTAGTCCCCAGCTACAAGAAACAAAGTACTACTTTTTAAGTTTTTTTAAGATTTAAAGTGCGTTCTCTAACACCTCGGAATTAAAAAATGCACTTTAGCTGAAATTTGACAAAATTTGCCTTGCTACACAAAAATACTTCTGTGCTTTATTGGTTACATTATTTCTTAGTAAAGTTTTTCTTTTAATCTTCAAGAAATTAAATAGTTCTATCTCTTTATACTTCTAAAGAATAAATTACAGTTTTACATTGAAAACTGCTATTAATATCTACATTCAAGGAAGAAAGTTCTTTTCTAATTCCCAATTTATTGTTTCAAAGAGCAAAGTGATCCTTTTAATTCTCAACACGTTAAATTACACTTCTGCCTTAAAAATGCCATTTTAATCTCTAATTTCAAGAAATAAAGTACACCTTTCCGTCCCACATTTTATTTTTGCATTAAAATGTGATGCTTAAGTTCTTCAAAGGGCAAAGTGTCTTTAAAATCCGCAAAGGATTTAGTTATATTTTGAAAAATATTACTTTAGTCTCTAGTTACAAGAAACAAAGTGTTACTTTTTAAGTTCCTTTAAGATTTAAAGTTCATATTTTAACCCCTCGGAATTAAAATATGCACTTTAGTACAAATTTGACCAAATTTGCCTTGCTGCACAAAAATATTTCTGTACTTTGTTGCTTATATTATTTCTTAGTAAAGTTCCTCTTTTAATCACCAATAAATTAAGTAGTTCTAGTTCTTTTTTCTCCTAAAGAGTTTTACATTCAACTTTGCTATTAATCTCAACATTCAAGGAACAAAGTTGTTTTCTAATTCCCAATTAATTGTTTCAAAGAACAAAGTGTTCCTTTTAATTCCAACGGGTTAAATTGCACTTCTGCCTTAAAAATGCCATTTTAATCTCTAATTTCAATAAATAAAGTGCACCTTTCTACCCCATATTTTATTGTTGTATTAAAATGTGACGCTTAGGTTGATCAAAGAGGAAAGTGTTATTAAAATCTGCGAAGTAATTTGTCATATTTTGAAAATTACTACTTTAATTTCTAGTTACAAGAAACAAAGTGTTACTTTTTAAGTCTATTTAAGATTTAAAGTGCATCTTCTAACCTCTTGGGATTAAAAGATGCACTTTAGTAGAAATTTGACAAAATTTGCGTTCATGTAGAAACAAAATTATACAACACGAGTGTTAATTAATACAATTTTATATCAAGTGATAAGCTCTGGAATTACCATGACATTTACAGTTGCTAATATTAGACTAAAACGGAAATAGGGAATTTTAGACGTTATCGCTCTAGTTCAAGTCGAATACCAAGTGTGGACACATGTTTAGTTACAAGACTACATCAGAAATAGCATCACCATGTTGCTAAAAGCATTAAGTTTTATTGTAGTCATCCAAGTTGTTGCAATAAGCGGTAAGTCTACACTTCTTTTTACTTAATTAGTTATAAATATATGTCTATAACCTCAGTTATGTTGAAGGTTATCCACAGGAATTCATGATAAAGAACAAGAAATCGGGAATGGTTTTGGACGGAACAAAACAAAAGATAAATATAACGGGATGGGCACATAAAAATTCACAACTGTGGACTATAGAATTCAGTAGTATCCCTGGATATTATATTATTAGTAATGTTGCAAACAGGTAAGCCATTGTTTTTCTTCTCAGATAAACTTCGTAGTTTAAAAGAACTTTTTTTATTTCTTGTAGAGTGTTACCAAATCTATATTACTTTAGAAACCCAATATCCAGAGGTCAATTGTCAGCAAAAAAAATGAACTAGCCAAAAATTTCCAAATTTTTTTAGTGATTTTTAAAAGATTGTAACTTTTGAAGCTTGAAGATTATGGTTTTGAAATCTTTAGATAAAAAATAGAAAATTCAAAATTTTCAAAAAAAAACAAAATGTTCAAAATTTTGTTACGTCCTCTTTTTTGCAATTTTACATTGAACATCTCAAAATTTTTTTTTTGAAATTTAAAATTTGTTTTTTTTTGACACATTTTTTAAGGTTATACCTACTTTTTTGTCATAGTCAAAACAATTTATAAAATTGTCCTTTTATGTTGTACTGTTGACTATTTCAAACAAATATAGTCTTGACACATCAATAAACACATAAAATTCACTAGAGAATTGAAATTTTAATTATGATTGAATGCGGAAATACATTCCGTAGTCGACAGGAGGTATGTGACTTATTTCACCATAAGTATTCAGACCAAAAAAATTAGTCGAGACAATAAGTAAAGTATCCAAAAAATTTGAAGAAACCGAAAGTATAAAAGGTTTACCTGGATCAGGAAAGCGAAAAACGGTAAGCGAAAATGACTGTTAAAATGTCATGCTCGCCGTTACTGAAAATCCTCACTCATCCATTCTCTATCTCAGCCAACTTCAACTTGTCGAAGTACTCAGTTCACAGAATTCTGAAGTTTCAAAAGTGGTATCCATATAAAATGAACGTCTTACTAGAACTATGGACAGATGACGCAGACAGAAGATTACAGTTTTGCGAGGAAATTAGAAATTTATTTGAAAGATAACCCACTGACGAAGCAACTTTTTGCTTAAACGGAATTGTGAACAGGGTTTTGGAGCCAAGAAAATCCGTATTGGATGCAAGACAAATATACACAACGGTCAGAAAAAGTGAATGTTTGGTCTGAAATAGTAGGAAATCGCATACTGACACCTTATTTCTTTGAGGGCAATTTGATAGGCGATATTTATTTGAATTTTTTGCGTTTTCAGCTGACCTAAACTTAATGAGCACGATATGCCACTGGTGATGTCTGGTTCCACATTTTCGCCTCGATGTAAGAACTTACCTTAATGAAGTTTTGTAGACACTATCGAAGGATTGAAAGATCGTATCAGAGAAGAAGTTCGAAACATACCTAACACCAAATGTTATTTAAAATGTAATTGATAACTTTGAACACCAAATTGNATCATTAAAAATAGAGCATTTTAATTAATTGTTGGAGTTATTTATGTAAATGATAGCCAACATCTCTACGACGCGGCGGAATGGGAATATCTGCGTGCTTTCAGGTTCGTATCTTTTGTGGAACTTAAAAAAATATCGCATGTACGAAGACGTAACACATACAGTGTGTTCCCAAAAAGATGGAACGAAATTTATATATTTTTTTCAGTTTATATTTTAAAAAATCGTTGAAATAGGTCAATTAGCAAATAGAAATTGTCACTTTTCCGCAGTATTTTCTATTTTTTTCAGCCACATTTGGCAGACCTATAACATTACCGACATTTTTTTTAATAGGACGCTCTATATTAAAAAAATGTCGGTAATGTTGCAGGTCTGTTAAACATGTCCCAAAAAAATAGAATAAATTGCAGGAAAGTGACAATTTCTATTTACTAATTGACCTGTTTCAACGATTTTTTTAAAATTTCAACTGCAAAACAAAAATATGAATTTTGTTCTTATCATTTTAGGACACAGTGTATATTAAAATAAATGATATATACTCATTAATCTTAAACAAAGCTCATTTGGAGACTTGTTCATAGTAAGTTTGATCAAACCTTTTACTTACACCCTGTATACTTTTTTAGGAAAGCTCTTGATGCCAGTCCTTTAACCAAAGCGCTGTCGACTTACCCAAAACATGGAAAGCGAACCCAAAGGTGGAAATTGACAACCATCGATGAGACGCGATTTCAAGTTCAGCGGCATCCCAACGATTTTATGATTCAAAAAAATGACAAAGTGGTACTCGGTCCTAAACAGAACGACGACAGCGACAAATGGATACTGGTTGTAGCTCACTCAGTGTAATTTAATTACAGTGTACTAAAATACTTTTTATTGAAATTGTAACGTGTGTATTATTTTTCTAATTTATTATTTTTCTTTGTATTTAATTATAATAATCAGATTTTTTCCAGTATACACCTTGTGAGTACAAAATTTCAATGTATACATACTAATACTCCTTTCGTGTCATAATATTTTTGCATCAATTAATTGTATGTATGTAACTACCTAATTATTTAGCAGTTCGTTGGTGTATAAAAAATAAAGATTGGATTTACGTGTCTCTAACAGTTTTTTTATTTTTATGAAAACCCCATGTTTTAGTGTGATACATCATAATTTTTCAATAATTATACAAATATTAAGTTTCAAGAAGTTCCGATATCTGCACAAATACGATTTTTTATCAAGTGATGACCTGAGTTCTAAGTATCAAACGAAAAGCAGATTATCCAAAATTATTACAGAGGTTATCAATGCAATTCAAGTTAACACAAGTAGACCAGGAAAATAAGCTGGGAAATGACCATTTCGTGAATTTTTGTTTCGGCAAGCTGAATTTATCACTATAGATGCTAAATATTATGTACAATAACATATTAGTTTCCACAGTCATAAAAATTGGGGGAAGTTTACAGGGTGGTTAATTGCATAATTTTTACGTAAATTCACGTTTTTCGGTTCATTTCCACGAGAAAACAGTAAGGTACTTTTTTCCGTCTTCAAAAGATCTACAAAACTAGCCCTCGAGCGTCAAAAAATATTGATTAGATCAAAAGTTATAAACAGATGAAGTTTATTTATGACTTTTGAATTTAACATTTATAAACTGCGTTATTATTACCAGAACGTTTTGGCATCGCGTCTTCTCATTCCTCATCACTATCTAATAACTCACACGAAGTCTGGAATCGGTAAGTTGAATAGACTAAAATTATGGCCTTATAAAAAATTAACTAATTATTAGTCTGAACGATTCCGAGGATCTTCCACAATCACATTGATATTTTTCATGGTAGATTTCATAATAATACATTGAAATCTATCATTTTTTTTTAATTTAAAATTTGCAACCGGGATTTTTTTTTATTTTTAAGCCTTAGTTGCAAAATGAAGTATACAACGCACGAGCGTGATATATATTATTATATATTCGGAAAGCTTATGAAAAGAGCTTTAAGTTAAAAAAAAATCGTCAAGATTCGTTGAAAAACAACGGAGTTACAGACTGTCAAATATATTATTTTCAAGAGAATTTCCCTTATTTTACTTAACGGCAGGACTATGAATATTATGGTCATTTTCTTCGGGCTCGCTGTCGTTGGCTTCGCCCACCCTTCCGCCGCGCCACGCCTCGCTGAAAATCAAACGACCCACTGACTTTTGACAATATTTCTTATGCACTTAAAATACTTCCACAAATAAAATATTTTTTCTTCAAGCGTATAATAATACTTATATTATATAGTGCAACACCTCCTTTAGAAGCAGCCTATTGTTTAACTAGTACAAATATTTTTCATTTTTTAACTAGTAAAAAAATGTAACAATGTGTAGGTAAGTATCCTAGCAACGAATTAAAGATTCAAGAAGCTTTGACGTTTCATTAAGTGTCAGTTGAAATTTGATGTCGCGTCGGGTCGTTTTTAAAATGTCTGAAGAAATGCAGTGCACACCACCAGAATTACTGGAAATTGCAAATACATCAGTGGCAACACTTATACCAACAAAGTCGAGAAAAATTTATGAAAATGCTTATGATAAATTCATAAATTGGGCAAAAGAAAATAATGCACATATTTATTCAGAAAATGTGATGATAGCATATTTTACAAGATTATCCAGAACACTGAAAAGTTCAACTTTATGGGCGCAATATTCAATGGTAAAATCTAAATTAAACATAATGTAAATATTGAGAAATATTCAAAATTAATTACATTTTTGAAACGACAAGGTGAAAATTATAAACCAAAAAAGTCGAAAGTTTTGTCTAAAAAAGAATTTGACGAATTCCTGAATAAAGCACCTGATGATAAATATTTAGCAACCAAGGTATGTACTTTTTAAATTATAGGTAGATATATATTTAACCTTTTTATATTTGTAATACAAAATTTTGTTATAATTTGTAAACTTCAAGTTATTTTATAGTATCCATTACGAGAATAATAAACAATTTTCGGAAATAAAGATAGCTCATTGGAAGAATGTTGTAAAAACTCATAAATATAGATGTCTTAAAATTACGTCATGTTTTAGAATTTCCTTGCATTTTCCAACTTTTTTTATTGTTACAAAATTAATAATTCTATATTTTTTAGGTTGCACTAATATTTGGAGTCACAGGAGCTTGTAGATGCGATGAACTCATTCAAGTAAAAGTTAATGATGTAAAAGATTTGGGAAATATAAT